AAGGCGATGAGTGTTGTCAATAGCTACACCCAGCACTGTAAGCCTGAAAACACCTTTCTGCACACCTCCTTCCAGGATGTGGCTGCTGCCTGTGATTTGCCAAACATCACCTGTAAGAACGGCCAGAACAATTGCCACCAGGATCCGAAGCCCGTTCCCCTGACTCAGTGCAGCCTCACTGCGGGGAGGTACCCTGCCTGCCGCTACCGAGAGGCTGCCCAGTACAAGTGCTACATTGTGGCCTGCGACCCCCCTCAGAAGGGCGACCCTCCCTATGCGTTGGTTCCTGTGCACTTAGATAAGGTTGTCTGAGGTTTCCATCACTTTCGTTCTCACTTGGCACAAATTCTCTTATGATCTTTTCTGATTTTTCTTTGCTTTTGCTGATTTTCCTGGCTCCCAGAGAAGGAAAAGGGAGGGCGTTGAAAGAATTAGAGTGATGATATCAGACAGTTTTCTGCTTTGGAGCTCAGTGTTTTGAAGGCAGACAGAAGGGAAGAGGGCAAAGAAGGGTCCAGGCCTCCGTATTTTCAGCCTTAGAGCTTTGCAGCATTACAGGAGAAAAGCAATTTTAATTACACATGTACGTGTGGGATCCCTACAAACACATGAGACTCAAAAGACACGGGAAACCCGGGAGGGGCTCAGGGTCCATGTCTGCAGCGGCGTCCCGAGACCAGGCCTGGGGCCGGGAGGGTTGCCCTGGCTTAGAGACGCCACGATTCCCAGGGAAAATGAGCTAAGTAGACAACCCAGTACATGTCTCTTTCCCACAGGGTGTGGGAAAGGCAATTGAGTGTCAGGTGTGAGGACACTGCATTTCTCAAATGTCATACTGACCAGACGATGTGAGGCCACTCCTTCCGCTTTACTTCCTGCCTTAGTTGGTACTTTACTTAGTTCCACTGGGGAAAAGAACTGTACAGTCAAAAAGAATTTTATTGATAAATTCAATACTGTGAATATTTTTGCTTAAGTCGTCTTCTTAACTTGTGAATTTTTTAAAATGCCATACTGTCTAGACAGGGCCAATAGAAACAGAATGGTGCGCTCCCCTCCCCAGCATGAAGACTAAAATTACAACGATTCAAGATGATTAGCATGACCCCCTCACAAGGATGACACACAAATTCCTGAAGCCTTTCATATTTTGTGAAGTAAGTCAGAGAAAGACAAACATCACATGATATCATTTATATGTGGAATCCAATGTATGACCCAAATGAACCTATTTACAAAACAGAAAGACATTCACAGAGATAAAAAAAACAAATTGTGGCTATGGGGGGAAGGCAGGGAGGGAGGGATAAATTGAGAGTTTGGCATTGGCTGATGGAAAATACTATGCATAAAATAAATTTAAAAAATCAGGTCCTACTGTATAGCATGGGGAACTGTATTCAATATCTTGTAATAACCTATAATGAAAAAGAATCTCTCTCTCTTTTTCTGTATATATATATATATATATGGAATAAATGGAATCACTATGCTGCAATCACTATGCTGCAATCACTGTGCTGTACACAGGAAACTAACACAACATTATAAATCAAAAAAATAAAAATTTTAAAAAAAAAGGAATATTAGTCAATCAATCAATCAACACAACCAGAAGAAGTGATGTGCACGTCTGAGGCAAGCCTACAGGGGTGTGGGGAGGCAGAAGCAGGGCCAAAGAGCCGCAGGGGAAGGCAGAAGCAGATGCTCGTGAGGAGGGGAAATCCAGAGAGCCTGACACTTCGTGATGGACTTTATAAAGGCCTTCCCTTGCCCTGTCTCATGCACTCGTTTCATTTTTAATGTGCCTTATTACTTTTCAAAAATTAAACAATGTAGACCAATACAAACTTATATATGGTGCTCAAATGAATAAATATTGTGTTCCACATGCTTACTCTTAGAAAAATACAAAAGCATTGGAGTCCATTGTATTCCTCCCTCCACTCCCATTCCTCTTAACTCTTCTTAAATGAAATCATAAATTTAGTGTCTCCAGCCCTATTTGTACACTTTTAATTCATAAACAATATATAGTGTTTCCATGTGCAATTTAAAAATTAATTTATCCAAATGCCATTGTATGGTAGAAATCATTCTGCAACTTGTCTTTTTTGTTCACTCAATACTGTTTTTAACACACATTAATATTAAAATGTATCTTGCTCTTTTCTTTTTATGGATGTATTTTTTCTTTTTATTAATAAATCATCATTTATTTATCAGTCGTCTCTTGATGGATATTTGGGATGTTCTCAAATTTTCACTCCAACCAGCAGTGTTGCAACGAATGTCTGTGTACATTTCTCTGTGTGCACATGTGGCAAAATTTTACCTCTGGGTGATTCCATGTCTATCATAGGTACACCAAGATGTGGAATTTTCAAGTCATACATATTTTTAATTTTGCTGTCTTGTTATATTTTCATCATACATGGCAATTTAAAGAAAGACACACAGCAGAAGAGTTGTAAGTTTCAGCTTTATACAAGGTGTCACTGAGGACTAGAGCCTGGGAGACAGCCACTCAGGTAGCTCTGAGGTATGAGATAGCACACCATTGTTGTGTAGCTTGTTCATAAGTAAATA